CAACCTTGTCTCCTACCATTTCTAGCCAGAGCCCACGGTGGTTCCCTTAGCCTGGAAGGTGGGATGCTATTCTTCCTCAAGTCGGCCAAATCGGTCTCATTCTATTTTGCTTTGTTTTGTTTTGTGTTTTTGATAGTAGTCATCCTAATGCGTGTGAGGTGATATCTCATTGTGGTTTTGATGCGCATTTCCCTAACGATCAGTGATGTCGAGCAGCTTTTCGTGTGCCTGTTGGCGTATTGGTCACTCTTAAGCAGACGTTGGCAAACTTTTTCTGTAAAGACGAACTATTTTAGGCTTGTGGGTCACATGATCTCTGTCATAACTGGTCAACCCTGCCGTGGTAGCACAAACACAGCCATTGACAATACGTAAAAGAATGGACGTGCCTGTGTGCCAATAAAACTATATTGACCGAACCAGGCAACAAGCAGGATGCGACCCTGACTTCACGGTTTGCAGACCTCTGCTCTTGAGGCAAGGAGCACTTGAGTTGTTACTTTCTCTGTGGGACTCACTGAGAGTAAGGGCTCTATCTTGGTCACTTCTGTATCCCTTTGGACTTAGCGTGGTCAGTTAATATTTTCTGCATTGATGGTCCCCGACTTCCCCCGCCACAGCCAACGGCGCCTGTGTCTCCTAGTACCTGCTAGACGAGGCATATTGCAAGAGTTAGTTGGGAGACAGGCTGCGGTAGAGGACAAAAGGAGGGACCCTTTTCCCTCCTTTTCTCCCTTACCCAGGTCACTCTAGAAAGTTCTCTGGGCTGAAGCCGCTAATGTGAACAAAACTGCTGGGGCTGAGTGGGTGCGAGGCAGACCCAACAAAGGGAAGTCTACTTTGTGGCCACCGTAATTTGGAGTCTTCCGAGATCAACAACTAGGTAGTGCTTATGGAAAGAGGTGAATGCTGGTGATGGAAGGTTCTAGTGTCTCCCAATATGCCTCTTTTCTTTCTCTCCATTCCTCAATATCTATTTGTGCCCTTTGAGTCCTTCACTTTGGAAAGCCTCAGATGAGAGCCTGTGTCCCTTGGTGGTGTGTTAAGCTGCCTGAATCTAGATGGTGACATGGGGTGCACTGGCCTGGGGAATCGGGAGCCCATGGTCCAGCCTTGGCTGTGCTCAGGGCCTGAGTGCCCTTGGCTGTGGCTGCTTCTCTCTGGGGCTCCCCCAGCTGGTCAGTGTGGGTGTTACTGGCTTTCTCCTCTCAGTGCCCTTCCAGTCTGGTGACACTTACTGATCACCTTCTCGGAAGTAAGCACTACACAGGACTCCAGGGACAGAGAAATGAATGAAAAGCCCCTGGCCCTTGAGCAGTGTAGCGGCTCATGGGAGATCTGGGCAGCTGAGCCAGTGATTACTGTATGATCGAGGAAGTGCTCAGAGACGGCAACGCAGGCCAGGATTTGTAGGAAAAGCCAGAAGAGAGAGATCTTCGTGGGGGAAAGCTGCGAGGAGGAAATGCTGCTGCAGGTGAGGTTTGAAAGTAGAGGATGAGGGCCCAGCTGTGCAGAGGAGAGCGCCGCTGAGGAGCCACGAGGAGCTCAGAGGCTAACTTGCTGGGGTTGTGCGGAGGGAGGGAAGGCGAGGGAAGTCACATCGAGAGGCGTTTCAGTTCAGTAGAAGGGAGAACTTTCTAGCATCAAGGCTGTCTCACCCTGCAAGTAGAGAGGAAGCCTAGAGCTCCTTGTCAGTGAGGAGAAATGCACACCAGAGTTTAGAGGGCTGTGGCCAAAGGCCTCAACCATTCCTGTCCTGTCTGCTGAGCCAGCGTCTGCCTCGGTTCCAGTCCTTCCCTGGTCATGGACCCCACAGATGGAACAGCTGGCCACAGGCACCCCCTGTCCCAGGAACACACGCAGATGGGGATGCCCATGATGCCTGGGAGCCCCAGTCTGGGCTCTGCCCCCTCGGCTTGTCTCTCTTGGACCCTCCATCCAGGGCAGGCTTCTCTGCAGCTGCTGGGCCCCAGCCCACTGGCTCGAATTTTGTGTTGGGCCACAGTCATCTGTGAAAAGCTGATGACAGCTCTGTGCCTCTCCTGCCAAAAGACACACACTCACAGATGCCCCAAAGGCCATGTCCAATTTATGGGGTTCACAGACCTCCCGAGTCCACGCACGAATGCCAGGCCTGGAACCTCTGCTCCAACTAGGCCCGCTGGCTGCTGTTCCCCATTCCTTGGACTGTTTCCTCTGCTTGCAGCTGTTACTCCAGGATTCTAGGCCAGGCAGGTGCTTACCCACGCTTCCTGACCTCCGCTCTGTGCTGTGGGGACACCGGTTGCCTCTCCCTCCAAGGAGCTCCTGCCCGGTGTGGGTAGGAGCAAGCACACAGGGGGAATACAGTAAACGACGTAAAGATCGAGAGCCTCGGGCTGGGAGCCCAGAGGAAAGAGATGGTTTCCAGTCGGGAGGCTCAGGGTAGGCATTGGCGGGGAAAGGGAGCTGGCCATTCTGGACTTGGGGCCACATGGGGGAGAGGACACTGCAGGCGGCGCGGGCAACCTGGGCAAGGGGATGGATGACAGGGCCAGAGAAGTCTGCCTAGGGCACAGCAGGTGGGAAGCCCAGGGGAAGAAGCTGGCAAGGTGCACTGGGCCATTACGGACTGGCTGCAGAATGTGCTCAGGAGGAAACTGGGACCCACTCAAGTGTTTCCGGCAGAGGAGAGGCAGGATCTAGTTGTGGTTTAGGAAGGACACCTGTATGGGCGTAGAGTCTGCATTGGAGGGGACACACAGATCAGCTCAGCCGTCCCACTACACCTGACCCAGGTGCGCACGGGGCCACGTGTGGAACTAGGTCAGCACGGATGGGGAGGGGAGGGGGCCTGAAACAAGAGAGCTCCCCGGTGAACATGCGGAACCGGGCCTGGACTTGTAGCTGTCCCCAGCCTGGGGGACGACGGCCTTCCCTCAGGCCTGAGGCTGCACAGGCGTGAGCCACAGGCCGGGTCGGTCATCCAGCGTGTCATTTTAGGGACGTGCACTGCACTGCAAGGCTCTGGTTGGCAGGAAAGGGACGGGGTGGGAAAGCGGAGGGAAGGCGGTGGTCCAGGGATCTGGGCAAGTTCAGTCTTTCGGGGGCTGACGCGAGGTTCTAGCTGTACTCAGTGACCTGGTGGGAGACCACTTCAGTTGTTCTGAACCATCGGGGGGGCTTGTGAAACAGAGTGCCAGGTCTGCCCTCCAAGTCTCAGTTCAGGTCTGCGGTGGCGCGCCAGTTTCTAACAACTTCCCAGGGCTGTGCAGAGTCTGTTTTCCTGGCTGTCACACTTTCTACAAACGGGTGGGGGGCTGAGAGCATTTTGGTCCTCGGTGCTCCTCAGCGAGACCCGCCAGCTTCAGTCTTCCCGGCCTGAGACCCTCCTTCCAGTAGCTCCAAAAGCGGAGCTTTTCTTCCCTTCACTGCCCTGGCCTCCTCCTGCCTCTCACCCCCCAGAGGAATCCTGACTCCTTTCCAGGCCCTTCCACTAAGGCTCCATTTCTAGTTCCCTGGACAGCTGCAACATTGCTCAGAGTTTTGTTACTTCCTATCTGGTCTCTCAGGCTCCACACAGGGTGGCTGGAATGAGTTTGTCGGTTTTTGCTCCCCGTTGCTGGAACTGTCAATGGTTTCCCAGGCCTACAAGATAAAGCTCAGCTCAACCAACCTCCAAGGCCAGCTGGACATTTCTGCACTTCATTGAATCTGAGAGACAACACATTGCTAAGGAAACTATGACAAGCCAATGCCTGGGAACCTTACCTTTCACCTTGAAACGCCATCTAGGGGCCTCTGCACCTACTTACTCTTTAGCCATCCTTCAAGGCCTTGGCTGGAAGCCACGTATCCTCCCTCTGAACTTACACCACCTCGTCTCAAGTGTGTCCGTCATTTCCTACCTGCTATTATAGGGGCTTGTGAACGTATCTTTACTCCTCTGTTCTAACTGCCTTAGGGGCAAAAACCCTGTTTTATTTCTGTTTGTGTCCCCCCACCCCGGTAGCTGTTTCCCCCCAGGTGGGGGTCAAGTTCAAATCACACAAACTGCACAGCATGTACAATACCTTCACTTTATTCCAGTCTCCCCAGCTGTCTCCCCACCCTTGCACAAAGGCAGAGAAGCAAACAGAAGTCTTTAAGGTTACATTTCAATGAGTCTGAGAAGAAACCAGATTCTGTAAGCAGAGCACCAGAAAATCAAGAACGCCGAATCACTATATGTGCTATGACTGTCAGAAACTGGCCTGAAGGGTTCTACGAGCATATGAGCTGCAGGGAGGTGGCCCTTTCTTCATCATCTCGTGCTGTTTCTGCCCAAACTCCAAGCAGATAAAGGAGGCACTCTTCTCTCAGACCTTTTGCATGGCTTACTGTCAACCTGCCCAATGTCCCATGTTACGGGGGGTGCTAAACAGCTTCAAACGGCATGCCGCTCGGGCAGACCACCACCTTGCCATTAAAAGGACACAGGGCTCTGTGGATAAAGAGAAAGGTGCCCATGAAAGAATGTTGTATGAAAAAATACTGCAGGCAGGCGCACCAGCTGTACCAGGGATTTGGGGCCTTTACAGTTATTCAAGCTTTTTAAAAGTTTTTGCGCTAAACTCTGTGTCTACTTAAAATGTACACTTGAAGCCTCACCATGTGTTTATAACTTCTGCTTTTCTCTAGGGTATCTGTCATCTGTGGCTCCTTGAACAGTCTGCATGGCAGTAAGTCTAGGACCCCCTCCTCAATCAGCAAATGGCTTGGTTCTTCCCTACGGCTTCTTTGATTGTTTACAAGGCCACTGGAATGATAAGGAACCCAGGGGGAAGCGGGTGGGGGAAAGGGAGAGAATACAAAACAGTAGACTAGGAAGCTGCCCTATTTTAAGAAATCCAAATCCAGTCCTACGAAGAAGAAATGTCTGCTGATTTCGCCACCCTCAGAGTCACAGAAGGGTGGGTGTGCTCTCACAGAACCAGCCGGAGGAGACCTAAGCTCAGAAGAAACTCACTGGAAGGACAGAGTTATCGGCTGGGGAACGCGTGGAAGGGCCCGGGCTCCAGGACGCCTCGGTCGACCTTCCGCAGGTGGTGAAAGCTCCGCACGGTCCTGTCCACGGCGTCATCCATGCTGACCAGTGGCCGGTAGCCCATGACCTTTTTGGCTTTCTCACAGCTGTAGTAATGGAATGTGCCAGCCAGTGCGACCCGCATGGGTGTGAAAGTGGGCTGAAGCTGGGTTATGGGACTGATTACCGTCACCAGGAGGGACAGCAGGAGGGCCAGGTAGTAGGCCACCCAGTAGGGGATGTGGTACTTGGGGGCCTCGTAATTGAGGCCTGTCAGGATGCGGGATAGGAAAGTCCAAAAAGGGATGGGCTCATCGTTGGTGATGTGAAAAGCCTGCAGGGGGGAAGGAGAAGTTAGGAACTGCTCCTCAGCAGGATGGGGCAGCAGGCCATGCTTGGAGCTTGGAGCTCGGAGCTCAGCCAGGACCAATATTTTGAGAAACCAGTGGCCACTCCCTGCCTGCCCGCCCCAGTTCCTTTGCAAAAGGCAGCTCAAAAGTGAGGCGGTTATTAAGCCTACACAGATCGCAGCATTTCACGTGGTCCTCAAATCCGCAAATATGAGCCGGTGGCTGACAGGCCTGTTTGATTTGCAGCTGCAGGCAGCTTTCAGGCAATGACAGGATTTCAAGGGAAGCTTAGATTGCACTTGGGAAGGTCCGTTTGTTAATTTAATAATTGTGTTAATCACGGTAAATGCAGTAAATCATCTTATCTTCAGATGCAACGAACGGGTCATATGACATTTCTGAAACGTGCTGTCTTTGGTGTAAACTAAAAGCCATACCCACCATACCCCTGCCACACTGAGAGTTACAGGAGTGGGAAAATGGCAGAGGTCCAGGAGGAAAAAAATGAGGCCCAAATATGGGGGATTCCAAAGGTCGGAGTGAGAAACAAAGAAGACGGGGGCCCTAGGAGTGGGAGTGAAAGGAGCCCGCATGTGCTCTCTCATCTCTGCGTGAGAGCTGACCTCACCCTACCCGAGGGGCTCAACCGTGGCCCAGTGGGATCCTCAAGCAGCTTTGCCAGGATGCAGGGTCACAGAAGCCACTTGCCAGTGGGTCCAATCACTGGGAGGAGAATTGTGAAGGCAGGCGGACACACAGGGGCAGGAAAGGGTGGGCCGGCTGCTGCCGAGCAGGTAGAAGCAGGTGCCTTACCTTCCCACCCAAGGCTGTGTCTCTGGAGAGGTGCTCTGCAGCCAGGATGTGTCCGTGGACCACGTTCTCCACGAAGGTGAAGTCTACCAAGTTCTCCCCGTTCCTGCATGTGCACAAGGAATGGGTTCCCTGCGCCGGGAGCACTTAGCTGCACACCTGGTAGAGCCCCTGCACGTGGACCCAGGGCCAGGACCCGCCTTGGCAATGCCAGCCCCTGGCACACCTGGGCATCCGTAACAGTTGAAGATGTGCAGGAGGCCAGGGCTCCTAGGCCCTCAGGGCCAGTGGGATGTTTAAGGGCCCGCCAATGAATCTGCAAGTCCCATGCCCTGCCTGCCCCATCCCAGTGTGGCCAACACTGGTATTGTCTGCTCTGGGCTCTAATTAGGGCAGCAGCTCTGAACTCCCTCCAGGGCACTCTGGGCTAATGCCTTTCTCTGGCCTCAGAGTTTTCTACTGTCTCTTTCTAATCCCACAGCAGGGAAGCCAACTGAAAGGCAGGGAGGCAAAGTGGCAAGGCACAGGGATAAATGGGGAAAGAAAGGGAGAAAAGAGAAGGAAGGAAGGAAGAGAGAGAGGGAGGGAGGGAGGGAGGGAGGGGGGAAGGAAAGGTATACTGGGGACACAGTCCCAGCCTCATCACCTGCAGCGGCCCTCCCACCTGCACTTGCCCAGAGGAGGAATGTTAACACCCCCCACCCCGACCCCCGCCTTCCTAGATGCAAGGAGAGTGGAGGGCTTGGCCCTTAACCCTGGGCCAATTGTTTCCCCTCTGAGCCTGTTTCCGGAATTTCCAAACAGGGACACAAATATTTTCGCAGCCTACCTGAGAGGGTTCATGGGGCCGAAGAGTGTCCTGCCACAATCCATGTCTCCCTGGAACTCGTGACTATGACCTTATCTGGAGATAAGGTCTTTGAATATGTAATTAGTTTAGATAATGTCACGCTAGTGTAGGGTGGGCCTTAAACCCAATGACTGGTATCCTTATAAGAGGAGGGACGTTTGGGTACAGACACACAGAGAAAAGAACGTCACGTGAAGATGTAGGCAGAGACTGAAGTGATGGGTCTACGAGCCAATGGACGCCAAGGGTTGCTGGCAGCCACCTGAGACTGGGAGAGAGGCCTGGAACAGACTCTCCCTCAGAGCCTCCAGCGGGGGCCAACCCTGCCCACACCTGGATTTTGGAGTCCTGGCCTCCATCACTGGGAGTGAATCCATTTCTGTTGTTCTAAGCCTCATTTGTTGTGGCAGCCCCAGGAAATGAACAGCGAGCAGCAGAGAAGGCCACGTAAGGAAAGAGCCGACTGTGCCCAGGGCGGGGGGTGCAGCAGGAGAGCAGCCAACTTACCCGATCATGAACCTCATCTTGCCTTTCCTGGCCGCCTCGATGAGAATGGGGACCAACTGGGGGTCCCTTGGGCCAAAAATGCCATGAGGGCGGATGGCTGTGGTTACGAAATTCTGGTCAGGATCGTTGGCACCCAGGACCGCCTGCGGGAGAGCAGGGTCGAAACCAGTAGAATCCAACAGAAAGGCCTGGGTTTGGGTTTAAACACTAAAATGCATGAATGCAGCAGTTTGTGGAAAGTATCTGAGAGATACAGTTAATGAGTTAGTAGCTGGGGGCCTTCAGTAAGGCTGCTGCCACCAAACCAGCTCCTGACTTAAGCTCCATGTGCCAACTGTATGTTTCCACCAGTCCTGGGCTGTTGTGGTCAGAACTGAGTACCACCTCCTAGGAAGGGACTCTGATGAAGCCAACTGGGCCAGGAAGAAGGGGCTGAGAAGGTGGAGGGTCTGGGAGAAACAGGGCAGCAACTCAGTAGCTAAACAGATGAACCAACATGTCAGGTGAATCCTCAGAGCCATGTTCTCTGTGGTTTAATGTACAAGCTAGAACTTAAGGGCTTCAGGTACAGAGAAACAAGTTTTGTCTCAAAGGGAACAAAACTTCCCAAAGGATCAGATAGATTGTTGCTAAAAATGGGGACCACGATGCCAGGGCTGTGTGCTGCTGAAACGAGATGGCCCACCTCACCTAGGATTTCTACTCTGTGGTGGCAAAATCCTTGTTCATGTTTTGGTCCAGTGAGCTTAAGCCACTTGTTGACTGTGTTCACAATGATTGGAGTTACCCAAAGGTGGAGCTGCCTCTCTTCTCCCCCCACCAGGCCCTGGTCCCCACAGCAACAGAGGAAATGACTAAATCAGCTTTCAAATGCCCTCTAGCCGAGGCTCATCTCTGTTACTAAAGAGAAGAAAGCTCCGGGAGTCCTAGATAACACCACACTCCATCTATTATCTGTCAGCATGTTTGAAAGCCGACAGCAGCTTGACATCTGCCGCCAACTGGAGGCTCCAGCACAGTTACTGCCAGAGGCGTTTACAGGCTTAGCTCATTTCCAGCAGAGCACCCAAGAGTCAGTGCAAGTGACATGACGATGGTCTGAACCACAGCTGCCACTTGCAGCACCTGAGCCCAGTGGGCGGGAGACCCAGGAGTGCTGGAGGAGGGTGCACGGGGCCCAGTGGAAGCTTTAGCGCTCCTTGGGTCAAGTCTGAGCAGGTGGGAGCTACGTGAGGCTCTCTGTGTTCCAAGGAGCAGGCGGGCAGACCCAGGACTGGAGCTTGCAAAAGCTAGGCCTCCATGCGCTGCACTGGGAAGCCCTTGGGTCTCCTGGCAGATGAGCTCTTTTGGGACTTTCTGAGTTGGAGTAATAGCAAACAGATGGGAGGCGGCTGACACTCAGGCCGCGCAGGGGGACTCTGGCCAATCTGGCATTAAGCTCTGGTTCCATACGTACCGGCTGCGAAAGAAAACCTCAGTAGGCGTGGCCCGCTGCCAACAGCTGGGAGAGGCAAACTCACAGCTGCCTGGCTAAGGTGAGCTGCCTGTGGCCGATGAGCATCCATGGCCTACAGTATCGGGTGTCCTCAGGGTAATATTCTCCTGGACGTTAGTACCGGAGCTGGCTACTGTCACAGTCTCTGCTACTTGGCCCAGACTGCTGCTACAACCAGGTGCTCCCTGGTGAAGCTGGCTTGCCCAGTGGAAAAGTACTTTTCCTTAAAATAAAGCAAGAGCCTTCCATTGTTTAATTTCAAAAAAAAAAGAAAAAAGGACAGGGGGTGCAAGAGTGCCACTAGGAAGGTGTGTTCAAATCAAAACACACTTGAGTGTTTAGCCTGAGTTCTGCCTGCCACTTTGGGTCATCATAAATTGTCTGATTTCTGGAGCAGTTCAGTAAACTTGCATGGTATACATGTTGAGTGCAGGCTCTAGAGCTGCGTGACTTCAGGAGGCTTCCGAATCTCTCTGCACCAACTGTCCTCCTCTGTAACCTGGTGAAGGTAACAGTACCTGCCTTACAGGGTCATTGCGAAGTTTAAATGAGGCAGCTCCTCGTAAAATACAGAGTAGCGTCTGGCCACATTAAGCTATTATGTTATTATTTTTTCTGTTATTATCTTTGAAATTGAATTCCATCCACAAATTTTACTGCCCAATTTACAGATCAGGCTTCAGAATACTAACTTCCTATGTCCATAAACGTTCTTCTTAAGAATCTAAATTCTGTAGACGTTCATGGACCTCGTTTGTCACTCACTCAACCAGTTCTCAGGTACGTACTCTCTCCTGTAAGATCTTCGTCTCCGTGTAGTAGTCAATGGGTTTCCTGGCATAAGGGAGGTCTTCGGTTCCATTTTTGATGTCGACACCCTCAAAGATGACACTGGCACTGCTGGTTAAAATGAGTCTCTGGCAGAGGAGAAGAGAAGATTTAAAAAAATGAGTCAGGAACGAGCGCTGTTTAAACATCACGATGGTCAGGTAGGAAAGAGAATCAAATGGCACGTGTTCACAACCCTCACCCCATACAGATTCTTTACTATGATGCCTTCCCTTTTCAGGCCTTCTTAAAATAATGCAAAGATCACCATCTTTTGCAGGTATGGGGATTTGAGACACATTATGGTATCACACTCTAAAACAGTGAATTTCACATTTTCCCCCCTCTTATCACAACCAAGGGATAGAAAAGACTTCCATTATTCATGGTACCTCACTATGGGAGTGATTCTCCATGGGGGAAGGATAGCCCACAAACTTCGAGGGAGATGCCCGTCTGCAAAAGACCCTGGTGATTCTGATCCCAACCTTGGCACGTCAGCACACACGAATGGGCACATGCACATGCCCACCAGCGAAATGCTATTTGAAAGGAAGTTGCTTTCTTACGAGGGTTCCTAGCTTCCAGCTATCTGGTTAAGGGCAGCCCATCCTAAACTGAACACCATTAGCTCGAATCACATCCTTATCACTTTTATTCAACATGGGCCTGGAAGTCCTAGCCAGCATGGTAGGATAAGGGAAACAACAAAGCATAATTATTTGAAAAGAAGAAACAAAACTATTGCCACTTACAGGTGTTGCAAATGTCTACATACAAAGCACTACGAATATACAGAAAATACTAGAGTTCAGCAAAGTTGCTGAGTACAAAATCGATATACAAAAATTAACTGTGCCCCTACACAGTAGCAGTTGAAAATGTAATGTGAAAGATATTTCAACCACCAAAAGCAAGGTACATGGAATAAATTTAACAAAAGATGTATAAAACCTTTATGAAGTAAAGTATAAAGAGCTATTGAAAGGCATTAAAGAGAGAGATAAATAGACATATTATGTATGTATTTATGGATCCGGAGACGTAATATTTGAAAGATATCAATTCTCTCCCAAATTACCTTTAGGTCTGAGGCAATTACAGTAACATTTCCAACAGGCTTTATCAAGGAACTCGAGAAGCTGGTTCTAAAATGTATATGAGCAAAGGGCTAAGAATACATAAATTCTTTTTTTTTAAAATTTTATGAAATATTATATTTTCATCTTTAAAAACATCTTTATAGGAGTATAATTGCTTTACAATGGTGTGTTAGTTTCTGCTTTATAACAAAGTGAATCAGTTATACATATACATATGTTCCCATATCTCTTCCCTCTTGCGTCTCCCTCCCTATCCCACCCCTCTAGGTGGTCACAAAGCACCAAGCTGATCTCCCTGTGCTATGTGGCTGCTTCCCACTAGCTATCTATTTTAGTTTGGTAGTGTATATATGTCCATGCCACTCTCTCACTTTGTCCCAGCTTACCCTTCCCCTTTCCTGTGTCCTCAAGTCCATTCTCTAGTAGGTCTGCATCTTCACTCCCATCCTGCCCCTAGGTTCTTCATGACCTTTTTAATTCTTTTTTACATCTTTATTAGAGTATAATTGCTTTACAATGGTATGTTAGTTTCTGCTTTATAACAAAGTGAATCAGTTATACATATACTTATGTTCCCACATCTCTTCCCTCTTGTGTCTCCCTCTCTCCCACCCTCCCTATCCCACCCCTCCAGGCAGTCACAAAGCAGGGAGCTGATCTCCCTGTGCCATGCGGCTGCTTCCCACTAGCTAGCTGTTTTATATTTGATAGTATATATAAATCCATGCCACTCTCTCACTTTGTCCCAGCTTACCCTTCCCCGTCCCCGTGTCCTCAAGTCCATTCTCTAAGTCTGCGTCTTTATTCCTGTCCTGCCCCTAGGCTCTTCACAACCACTTTTTAAAAAAATTCCATATATATGTGTTAGCATACGGTATTTGTTTTTCTCTTTCTGACTTACTTCACTCTGTATGACAGACTCTAGGTCCATCCACCTCACTACAAATAGCTCAATTTCATTTCTTTTTTATGGCTGAGTAATATTCCATTGTATATATGTGCCACATCTTCTTTATCCATTCATCTGTCGATGGACACTTAGGTTGCTTCCATGTCCTGGCTATTGTAAATAGAGCTGCTATGAACATTGTGGTACATGACTCTTTTTGAATTATGGTTTTCTCAGGGTATACGCCCAGTACTGGGATTTCTGGGTCGTATGGTAGTTTTATTTTTAGTTTTTTAAGGAACCCCCATACTGTTCTCCACAGTGGCTGTATCAATTTACATTCCCACCAACAGTGCAAGAGGGTTCCCTTTTCTCCACACCCTCTCCAGCATTTATTGTTTCTAGATTTTTTGATGATGGCCATTCTGACTGGTGTGAGATGATATCTCATTGTAGTTTTGATTTGCATTTCTCTAATGATTAGTGATGTTGAGCATCCTTTCATGTGTTTGTTGGCAGTCTGTATAACTTCTTTGGAGAAATGTCTATTTAGGTCTTCTGCCCATTTTTGGATTGGGTTGTTTGTTTTTTTGACATTGAGCTGCTTGTAAATTTTGGAGATTAATCCTTTGTCAGTTGCTTCATTTGCAAATATTTTCTCCCATTCTGAGGGTAGACAAGCAAATTCTGAAGAACATGGTTGGGGGAGTGACTTGTCCTACACCAAATACTGAGGTTCATCCTAAGGCAGGGCACAGGGGCCAAGAGAGTTTGATGGCCAGGAACAGGCACGCACAGATGTGCTGCATAGGGCACTGAACAGCGGGGAAAGGATAGATCATATAATACATGCTGCTGAGCACCAAAACATCCTCTGTCTATTTCAGAACATATAGAGGCATAAATTCCTGGTGGATTAAGGATTTAAATGTGGGAAGTAACACTTTAAATCTTTGAAAAGAAAAGCACAGTAACCAATCTTTTGATTGCTCTATTGAGAGACATTCCCTAAATACTACATTAAAAAAACCATTTCCTATACTGTTACCCACTGAGCAATCCTGCCACTTCAGTGAATATACCAGAGCTATATATATCAAGATGGAGAATCTCAAAAACATAATGTTGGGGAAAAAAAGCAAGTTGGGGGCTTCCCTGGTGGTGCAGTGGTTGAGAGTCCGCCTGCCGACGCAGGGGACACAGGTTCGTGCCCCGGTCCGGGAAGATCCCACATGCTGCGAGCGGCTGGGCCTGTGAGCCACGGCCGCTGAGCCTGCGCATTTTAGATTTTCTTTCTTTTCTTTTCTTTTGGGCATGCTGCACAGAATGCGGGATCTTAGTTCCCAACCAGGGATCGAACCTGCGCCCCGCGTCTTGTAGGGGCAAGATGGGAATAAAGACGCAGACCTACAAACTTTTATAACATGCAAACTAATAGCTTCTATTGGCTGCACATGGAGCAAATAGAAATGATGAACCCAAACTCAGAACAGTGTTTCCCTGTGGGTAGGGAAGGACAGCAATGACACTGAGGACGGGCACACGTGGGACTTCAGCTTCACTAGTAATACTGCTACCTAATGCTGCGATGACTGGGAGCTATATTACTCTCAGATCCTTTCTGGATGTCTGGGATAGTCCATTTAAAAACCAGCAGCATCTCCAAAGACATCCAGACTGCCAACAAACACATGAAAGGATGCTCAACATCACTAATCATTAGAGAAATGCAAATCAAAACTACAATGAGGTATCATCTTACACCAGTCAGAATGGCCATCATCAAAAAATCTACAAACAATAAATGCTGGAGAGGGTGTGGAGCAAAGGGAACCCTCTTGCACTGTTGGTGGGAATGTAAATTGATACAGCCACTGCGGAGAATAGTATGGAGGTTCCTTAAAAAACTAAAAACAGAATTACCATATGACCCAGCAATCCCACTGCTGGGCATATACCCTGAGAAAATCATAATTCAAAAAGAGTCATGTACCACAATGTTCACTGCAGCTCTATTTACAATAGCCAGGACATGGAAGCAACCTAAGTGTCCATCGACAGATGAATGGATAAAGAAGATGTGGCACATATATACAATGGAATATTACTCAGGCATAAAAAGAAACGAAATTGAGTTATTTGTAGTGAGGTGGATGGACCTAGAGTCTGTTATACAGAGTGAAGTCAGAAAGAGAAAAACAAATACCACATCCTAACACACAGATACAGAATCTAAAAAAAAAATAACGGTTATGAAAAACTTAGGGGCAGGACAGGAATAAAGAAGCAGACATAGAGAATGGACTTGAGGACATGGGGAGGGGTAAGGGTAAGCTGGGACGAAGTGAGAGAGTGGCACTGACATCTATATACTACCAAATGTAAAACAGCTAGCTAGTGGGAAGCAGCCACATAGCACAGGGAGATCAGCTCGGTGCTTTGTGACCACCGAGAGGGGTGGGATAGGGAGGGTGGGAGGGAAGGAGATGCAAGAGGGAAGAGACATGGGGATATATGTTTATGTATAGCTGATTCACTTTGTTATAAAGCAGAAACTAACACAGCATTGTAAAGCAATTATACTCCAATAAAGATGTTAAAATAACAAAACAAAACAAAACAACAAAAACAGCAGCAGTGTAATTCACAGAGCTCCAGTTATACGAGCATGGTAGAGAGTAGTAAGGAGTCTGGGATTTGGCATCAGAGGGTCTGATGTCTCAATCTGGTTCCTCACATATTAAGCAACATTAGTAGCCCCTGGTTACCTATGGAGGAGCAAATCAGGTGACAACTGCAGGACAAAGGGTCTTGTCATTTGCAAAGTGTAAGGGGTCACGATTACTATAACTGATCCCTTCCAGGGCACCAAGCCCCAAAGAGCTCCTTTTCCGCCTGTTCTTGTTGTGCCAACTGGCTCACTTCAGTCTTTTTTCTTGTTCACACAGCATCTGTGGCATATGTCACTGTGAGAGTTGGGGGCTTGGCTGATAGGAAGCTGTTTTGTCCAGTGGCTGGTGCCCCATAAAGGTGATCCAGAGAACCAGGGTTTTTAACAATGCAGCAAGCTACAATGTGGTGGACACTGTACCGCTCGGGTCTGAGTTATAGCAGGTTTCTATTGGCTAAAATGAAATCGTTTGTTTTCCTTTGAAAATATAAGCAAAGTCTGGAAAATAGTATGATAATTCTTTAAAAGGTTAAACACAGAATTACTGTATGATCCAGGAATTCCACTTCTGGATATTCACCCCAAAGAAATGAAAGCAGGAAGTGGAGCAGATACTTGCACACCCATATTCACAGCAGCATGATTCACAATAGTCAAAACTTGGAAACAGCCCTGGTGTCCACCAAGGGATGAATGAAGAAACAAAATGTGCTCCATCTCTACAGCAGAATATTATTCAGCCTTGGAAAAGAAGGAAATTCTGACACCTGCTACAGCACAGGTGAACCTTGAAGATGTTACACTAAGTAAAGTTAAGTCAGACACGAAAGGCCACATGTTGTTTGATGCCACTTCACAGTGACAGGAAGCAGAATGGTGGGTGCCAGGGGCTGGGGGAGGAGAGAGTTAGTGTTTAATTGGTACAGATTTCAGCTTAGGATGACGAAAAAGTTCTGGAGACGGATGATGGTGGTGGTTGTACAGCAATGTGAATGTGCTTAACGCCAGTGAACTGTACACTTAAAAATGGTTAAGATGGTAAATTTTATGTTTTATATATATTTACATCATATATATATATATATATATATATATATTTTCTTTTTTAAGTCACAATAAAAAAAATACAAGCAATTTCTAAATTCTGTAGCTCTTTAACCAAGACTAATAAACCTTAGGGTCCTCAGATGGTCTGTTCAGATGCTCAGCAGGTCCTAGGGCTGAATTTCTAGGCTCTTCACAACACTTTAGGAAGCAAGCCTGGCTAGGCACAGGAAGAGAACAAGAGCCCTGGTCCCCACACACTTGGAAAGGGCCATCACACGCTCCTGACAGCACTCATTCCAGCTTTCCCCTTACCTGAACCCCAGCCTCTTTGCAAGTTTCAATGACATTCTTGGTGCCAACGTAATTCACTCTGTAAAAGAGTTCCTTGTTGTTACTGGATGGTGGGGGCGATGCGCAGTGGAAAACTGTGCTTACACCTTTCAGAGCTGGGTACAGATCCTGGAGAAGCAAACAAAGACAAAAAAAATCTCTCCTGCTCTAGACAAGTAAACATCCTCCTCACATTACCACTCTCCAATCTGGGGCACGTAGGTGTCTTTCCCTTTAATAATTCTACAATCAACACAGAAATACATTCTCATTGTAAAAGAGTCAAACAACACATGAGTACATGGCACAGAAACCATATTGTCCCTTTAACCACCCCCCTCCCCATTACCTGGGCCCAAATAAAAACTGGTTTGGGGCATGAGAAGCCTGTGGGATCCAGAGAAAGGCAGCATCTTTGCCTTTGTGCCTCATGGGTGGTGGGTGGGTGGGGTACAATTCAGGGCACCTGGAGTTAAAGCTCCTGGGGAAGATGAGCCCATAGATACACATTATGAATCATATGAAAAGACAGTGTAAATACCCAATACACAGCAGCATTCCTTTCTGTGAAACTAGACATAAAACAGTAACCTGAGACAAAAACATGTACGTTTAATTTATTGCTACAGGGAAGCAGAGCTCCTGAGATCAACGGCTGATTGCAGATCTGGGGCAGGAAACAGACAAGATGAGCCAGGAACACCTTGTCGCACCAGAAAATAATTCCTGTTAAAAGGACTCGAGAGCCAACTTGAAGACGCTCCCACTAGCCAAAAAGGAAGGGACAATTTGATCCCCAGCAAGAGTAAGAATTCCTTTTGCAAAGTGGCAAATAAAGCGAAAGAGTCAAGCATTTAATCTGCACAAGGTACAAAGATTTGAGCTAAGAAATAAAGAGAGAATAATAGCATGTCACCATTTTGTGAAACCTTAACTAAGTAATAAGATCTAGGAGTGATCAATAGATACTAACATCACTAAAAGAAAGACAACCATGAATTATGTGCCTAGATCCACCGATTATTAGCATTTTGCCACGATTTTCTCTATGTAGACATGATGATTTTCCTTGAAACCATTTGAGAGTAAGCTGTAGACATCGTGCCACTTAGCCTCTCAAGTCTTCACCAGGCACCTCCTAAGGACAAAGACATCCTCCTAAATAACCACAAAACATTCATCGTATGCAAGAAATGTAACAGATAGGATACTCCTATCCAATCATTAGTCTCTATCCAAACTTCCCCAACTGTCCCAATAATGTCCCCTCAATTTGGATTAGTCTTTTAGATTTAATACTTTTGGCAAGAACATCACACCAGTGACATTATGACCTTCTCAGGGCATCACCCAGTCTGTCCCATTGTTGGTGATGCTGATCCAATCATTTGGTTAACGTGATGGCTGCCAGATTCTGGCCATCAAAAAGGTACCTTTCCCTCTGTGTAATCCACTACTATTATATTTTGTGAGGCTCAAAATGTCCCATATTTGGCCAGTGGAGGCTCTTCAAACTGGTTCCTGTGTCTTTTTGACATATTCTCATTAGTTTTTGAGTACTTCCTTAATTTTGCCCTAAGAAAATATTCCAGGCTCACCTTGTACTACCTACCCCTGCCCCAGAGTCCTGCATAGGCTATTTTCCCAAGAAGCCCTGGTTCCTATTATGGGCAATGGTGTATAGAAAGCAAAATCTGAGCACCAGGTGTGCTTATGGCTGTTGGGGTATCAATTCATGATGTCCCAATGGAAAAAAACCAAACCAGAATCAGATGCAGCCTTTACTCCACTAGAAATATAATACAAAGCATAGATATGACTTCAAATTTTGTAGTAGCCACATTAAAAAAGGAAAAAGTGGGAATTCCCTGGCGGTCCAGTGGTTGGGACTCTGCGCTTCCGCTGCGGGGCGGCGTGGGGAAGGCCTGGGTTCAATCCCTGTTCGGGGAACTAGGATCCCGCGAGCTGTGTGGCACGGCCAAAAAAATTAAATAAATAGAAGTAAAAAAAATAAAAAAAACATAAAAAAGTAAAAAGAAACAGGTGAAAATAATTTTAATGTATTTAATATAATCTACACGGACATGTTCAACAACACCACGGGGATGAAATCTGCAAGATCCAGACCATGGTTTATGATAAACATCCATCATTCAATGAACAATCTAATGCTTTAAAATGTGAAAAGGGAACTTATAAATTAAGAGAGACTTAAACATTTCATTCCTGTCCTGCCCCTTCAGTTGACTGCAATATTCCTCAACCTTTTTGGTTCCTTATTTGGAAAGACAACTATACAAAAACATTGTGAGACTTTCAGAGATATCTGAACACTGGTTAGAAATTAAGGAATTGTCAATATGTTTTAGGTGTGGTCATGGAGTTGTGTTTTTTCAAAGGATTCTTATCTTTTAGCAACAAATACTGAAATATTTACAAAAAAAAAAAAAGACAAGATGTCTAGGTTTGGCTTTAAAATAATCTGAGGGTGGGGAGGGGATACAGAGGAAACAGGCCTGGCTGTGAGTGTATATGGAATAGAGAGAATCTATAAAATATTATAACGACAGAAGGAGAAAGAACACATGGAGGAGAGACTAAGAGACGTGTAGAATATAAAGAAAGACTTTACTGTATGTCCAGTAAGGCTTCCAGAAAGAATGGGGGTAGAGTCAATATTTGAAGAATTTTCTCAAAATGAGGCCCACTAGGTGCTGAGTGGGATTGAAAAAGAAAACTAAAATTCAGACCTAGAGATACTCTCTACAGACCATAAAGGACAAAAAAGAAAATCCTAAAGGTCATGAGGAAAACTCAGCTGACCTACAAAGGAACAATGCTCAGATTGAGCGATGGGGGGAAAATTGTGAAACTAGAATTCCACCTGCAGCCAAACTAGCATTCATGAGTGAGGGGAAAATAGAGACATTTTCGGGCATAAAAGGACTCGGCAAGTTTACTGTGTACAGACATTTGCTGGGGGGAATGCTACAGGAAATGCTTCAGCAGG